GGCTGTTTGGCCGTAGGGTTGGGGTGGGGTGTTTGGGGTGTAGGTGTAGTGTGCATGGGCATTGGGTTGGGTTGGGTAGGGTGGACGCGGGCCGAGGAGACCCGAGCCCGGGTTGGGATGCCGTCATACGGGTGTCGTTGCGAACCAGAGTTTCTCCTCGTCCACGTCCACGGCCGCCTCCACTGCGACCTGAGTTGCGCCCCAGCTGCCCGCGACCGCCGCCGCTGCCGCCGTTGTGTCCACTGCCGGGCGTCCCACCGCTACGCCCGAAACTGCCGCTATTGCCGCCGTATGGTGAGCTGCCTGTTCGGCCAGCCATGAGCGCCATGCCGGCGTTGTCCATAATGGTTTGTCGTTGCCGTTCAAGGAGCAGGAGAGCGGATCGGGTCTGAAGGAACGTGGGCAGCGGTTGTTGGAACTGCAAGAACGATGTCTGAGCCTGGAGATCGTCGGGTAGCCCACGAAGCATTTGAAGCACAAGTTGAGACTCAGAGACCGGGGCGTCAACATCATCCAACCAATCGGCAATGTTTCGCAAAGTTTGACAGTAAGTGGCCATGGTCATCGAACCCTTGATGGTGGTTCGAAACTGGTGCTCGAGTTGCATTGCCCGAGCATGTTTGTTGTCATGAAAGAGAGCATGAATAACCCACCAGAGTTCAGCGGCGGTGGTGGTGGTGGAGATAACTAGATCTGAGACTTCGTCAGTGATGGTAGAGAGAATCCAACCTTGGATCAGGGCGTCAAGTTGGTACCATTCATCATCATCGGCAGAAGAAGGAGTAGTAGAACATGAGAGAAACCCGTGGAGGGTGAATCGGCGCACCAGGAGGAGAAAGAGCCGGCTCCATTTTTTGTAGTTGGGCTGAGAAAAGCTAAGCTGAATCGGGACATGAAGCTTGACGTTGGAGATTGTTGTGAAGGCAAGATGAGGAGCATTCGAGGAGGAGGAAGTGGTTGAGTTTTGTGAGGGTTTATCAGAGGAAGCCATATTGAGAGGGGAGGGCGCTGTCATCGCCGAGGAAGAGAGGGGCTGTGCTGCGCTGCTGCTGCCGCCGAGGAGAGGAGGACGGCGGGTGGTGTGCGGCGCTGGAAGAGAGCACGCCGAGAGGGAGAGAGCACGGGTAGGGTTAGGGTTTTTGGGTTTAGGAAGATGGCTCTGATACCATGAAGAATTATGAATTTCCTTAAACAATAATGTGGGAGTACATGTGTTTTATATACACAAGCTATTCCTAATCCTAATCATGGTAGGATTCTATAATAGGAAACAATATACATACAATAAATATAGAATATATATTTAACATAAATATAGAATATATTTAACAGTAACTCTTATTTGTCAATTTTATCTTTTTTTCTCCAATTCTATGTAAAAGTATGCTTTTTGTTCAATTTTCACATTTTTTTTGTTTGTTGTGTTTGTTCCAAATATTCTAAAAAATGGTTGGTGTTCTTCTTTTTGTGTTTATTAATGTCTATATTAAATCCCTTATGAATGAGAATTGATTCATACTAGGTTTTCTTCAATTATTGAGCAAGTTGTTGTTGAATTGGTTGAATTGTATAATTTGATTTCATAAGTAGGTTGGTATGTGGAATTCGGTTTTTGTTGAAGCTATTTTAGCTCCATAAGGTAGTTAAATGAACTCCGAATTCATATGTGAATCTTTTTTGTGATTTGTGTTTGTTGATTTTAAGAATTTTGGACTTCCTAGCCCTATAAGTTGATTAATTTTTCTTAGAATTCATTAATAAGTGATTGTTATGTTTTCGTGTGTTTGTTTGTTATTTTCATAAATATAAGGTTGTTTAAGCTCAAAAACAATTCTTGATTTATTGACAATATGTTGTGTTCATCTATGTGAATAGAAAAACGTCATTGGTTTGAGAAGTTCTTGGAAATCTGTGAAATGTGCTCATCATTAGGAGAAAAAGTTTATTAAAATGCATAAGTTATTGGCGGTTTGTCAATATATTATGCATGAGAGTTAGAATGAAAAAAAATCGCTCTTTTATAAACTTTTTCTATAGTGGAAGTATGTTTTCATGCTTGATTGGTGAGTTGGGGTTCTAAGATATATTTCAAAATGGGCCTTTGAATTACATGACTCCAGACCGTGTGGAGAGTTGACAATCCTCCATATCGTGGTTAAGGAAATGAATCGACTCGGCCTTTGATTGATTTTTCCATTCTTAAGTGCGTAAGTTACGTAATATATTGTCTAAGTGCCTATTATACGTGTAATGTTCAATTTGTGTTTGTTCTCTTTTTCATTTTGTTTCGGGTTCTTGGCGGTGTTTTTTGGGTTACCTTAGTTGAAAGAGTTGATTATCTTTAGAGCTTGTTTTCCTCCATTTAATCAAAAAACCAAAAAAATAAGAAAATATAAAAAACCAAAAAATATTTACTTTTTATTCAAACCCCCCCTTTGTGTTGTGTTTCAGTTACATTATAAGTTCTTTGTTTATATAAGTTATATTTATAAGTTTTTATTATAAGTTTTATAAGTGTTATCATATGTGTAGTAGTTAGTTTTATTTTTATATTTATTTTCGTGACAACGTATTTGCATACTAAAATGGTTTTAAAAAATACAAACTTTCTCCGTGGGATCGACCCTTACTTGCCCTAGCTATAGTTTTTATTTTTTTATATATTGGGGGTTAGCTAAGGTTATTTATAAATTTTTAATTTGTTTGGGACCGCACGACAAGTCCTCAACAGCAGGCTGCCCAGACACTCGCCGATCAACATCTGGTTACTCCATTTTTCTAGGCGACAACCTTATCTCCTGGTCTTCTAAGCGACAACTCACCACCTCTCGATCCAGTGCTGAGGCTGAATATTGAGCTGTCGCTAATGCCGTTGCTGAAGTCAGTTGGATACACAATCTTCTTCTCGAACTCCGACAACCTCTGACTCGCTCTAAACTAGTCTTCTGTGACAACATCAGTGCCGTCTATCTTTCTGCCAATCCAGTCAAGCATCAGCGCACGAAGCACATCGAGGTTGACATTCACTTTGTGCGTGACAGAGTCGCCCTTGGTCAGATGCGAGTTCTTCATGTGCCGTCTTCCCTACAGTATGCAGACACCTTTACCAAGGGCCTACCCTCCATGGTCTTCTCCGAGTTTCGAGACTGTCTGGGCGTGCGGCATTCTTTGTTGGCGCTGTTGGGAGCATGTTAAATATATTATTACTATATTTAATATTAATGTATATTGGAAGCTACCATATTTGTATAGGGTGTATTAATTATTGTTTCCTATTGTCATTAGGAAACTCTTGTATATATAAACATGTAATCTCTCATAATTATTTAATAGAAAATATTCATTCTTCATAATGTTTTAAAAGGCAAACCCGATTTTGCTAGCGCTCTGGTCTAGGTGACTCAGGTCACCCAGGGTGGGGTGTGTAGAGACTATGATTGAAAGAGTGCTCGCTTGCTTTATTTTGCACAATTTTATTAATGGGTGTTGATCTTGATCCACACTTGTTAGCTCAATTAGTTGATCAAGAATTACAAGAGAATAACCCAGAATAGGAAGCCATTCTTCGGCATGAACAAGATGAGGATTACAGGAGAGGTTTGATTTAAAGGGATACTATTGCAGCTCAGATGTGAGCTGACTATCCAATGGTGACAGTGGATCAATAGTTTCATTATGCTATCTTAATTTTTGTGTTATTAATGATTTCTTAACTATGTCCTATGTGCATATGTATGTTGTTGTTAGTGAAATTATTGTGTTATCATGTATGAATATGATCTTACTGTATTCATGTTTCTTTGCTATATTTTATTCCATATGGCATGGATTGAGAAATCAAAGAAATCGGTCGCGGAAGGTGGTGATTTAGCTAGGGAGTTAATAAGATGGCCAGAGGATATTGATGGCCGGAGGATATGATGCCTTGATAGAGGAAAGCGCCAAAGGAAATGTAGTTGATGGTAACCTCTCTTCAACTGCGTATGATAATGCACTTGCAGTTTTAAAGTCATCATTTGGAACAGAACTCAAGGACAATGTTAAGAATAGGCTAAAGACATTGATCGAAGGATAACTTTAGAGTTTGTTATGATCTATTTCATGGTCTAAGCGGGTTTTCATGGAATCCAACAGAGAAGTTGTTGAAACACGGGTTTATCGTGTTTTCGTACTAAAGTCGTGTTTGTTTTTATGACAGGTTTTGATAATGCCAAACCGCCGTGAACGAGACAAGTTGTTGAATATACAAGGCGAGAAATAAATATAAGAAGAAAGCAAGAGAACAAGAGCTAAAAGAGATCAAGAACGAAGACCGTAGTCTTTAGCGTCGTTGAGTCGGTCACAATGTGATCAAGACCGACCCAAGCTTTGCACTTTGCCTCTTTAGGCTAAAACATTTTTTATTTCATTTTACATATCATCAAAATTATTTTCAAACATGCTTAAACACATTAAAAACACTTGGTGTTTGCCCAAACCAAAAACCAAGCCATCCGGCGTTCGGGTTTCAGAAACCAGCGTTCGGCATTCGGTTTTCGGCGTTGGTTTTTGGTGTCTGAACCAACCAAGTGGTTTTCAGCATTTTATGATTGGTTTTCACTCTTTGGAATGTTTAAAAAGTTCTCCAACAAAAAACACTTTGAAAATCATCTTTCGCTTTTGGTCGTTTGACAAAAACCACGCAAAACGGCGTAAACTTGGCTAGCCGTGGTTTTTACTCAAATGACATGGTTTTTAAAGTAACTCACTTGATTTCTTAGCCAAATACATCAAATAAGTGTTTCAAACACTTGGTTTTTATTTTGGAGAACTTTGGATTTTTCGGTCGGTTTTTGCATCGGTTGGCTAGGCCGTGGTTAAGGCAAAGACCATGGGTTTTTGGCTAACCGCCCACCCAGCGATGGGAAGATCTTCCCATCGATGGGTAAGCGGTCCCTTAGCCAAACCAACTTCCAGAACCATGCCAAACAGCGATGGGAAGTTCTACCCATCGCTGTTAAAGCCTTGGTACAACATTATCACAAGGCAGAACGACCTTGCCCAGCGATGGGAAACTTATCCCATCAATGGGGACCCAGCGATGGTAAGGGTAAACCATCGATGGGAAGGCATGACCGTTGGAAGTCATTTAATGTTGATTCTTTCCTTGTTTGGAAGTCAACCTCCCACCCAGCGATGAGAAGCTTGTACCGATCGATGGGTAGGTGACCGTTGGCTTCAAAACTGAAGGAAAATTGGCTTACCAGCGATGGGTAAGTGGTCCCTAACATCGATGGGAAGCCAATATCCTGCAGATCCCAAATCTTTTCAATCCCATAAATCAAGCCAATCACCCCTTTAATGTATTGGTCCGTTGGAGCCTATTTTGGCACTATAAAAAGGGGTGTTTGGGTCTGCTTTACACATCTATTCACTTCACAATATTCATATTATCATTGCATTCAAACAACATCATTTTTCATAGCTTTCTAGAGCCAATTTGTGAAGTTTGAGTTGTTCTTGAGCGTATATAGTTTACTCAACATCTACTCTAAAAGAGAGCCTTGTTCTTGAGTGTCTTAGTGTTGTATACACGTTAAGGGAAGCTTGCTTCCCTTGGTTGTACGAAGGAAAGGTATTTTCCTTTGGGTTGAAGTCTTGGAGTGTGGTATCTCCGAGCAAGTGTTGTTGAGGCTCGTGGGACTCGAGTTCTCAGGTTGTAACGGTTTGTTAAGCACCCGTAAGCTTAACGGAAGTAGTGTAGCTCGAGAGAGTCTCTCGGGAGACTGGATTAGCCACACGTTGTGGTGAACCAGTATAAATCTTGGTGTGCTCTCTTTACGCTTTTTACGCTCTTTTCTTTTCACTTTCTTAATTTTTTTTCCTGCGATTTCTACGATCAAACGCCATTCACCCCCCTCTAGCGTTGGTCACTTATTCTAACAGAAGTAATCTGAAGCTGAACCTCAAGTTTGTTATGAATATATAATTATTTATTCAGACACACACATAGCATACTTGTATAATTGTTCTTGTAGGTTAAAGAAGATGCTAAAAAATAGATTCACACGTGGATTAAGCATTATGACTAATGTACTTGAAGCAGGCAAATTATATGGTACATCGAGCTGTACCTTCCTTTAGGTACAGCCTGGTATTTTTGTAAATTTTGCAAACTTTTTATTCAATGCCCAGAACATATATGAGAACTATTATATATGACAATGAGTACTAGCAGATTTGAGAATGAGTACCAGCACTTATGAGAATTATCATATTCTTATTCAATACAAACATGAATAAACCTGAGTTTTAAATTCTCCATTCTCAAAGAGTATAAATGAGTAGGAACGAATCGAATGGAGGAAGAAGTTGATGATGGTACTGAACTTTTTAATTGTGAAAAAATTGAAGAATACTTTATTTCAGAATGAACATTTCCTTATTTGAGAATGAGTATTGTTTTTTTAAGAATGAACACTACGCTATTTATTATAATTATATTAGACAAATGTGTAAAAATGAGTACTTTATTTTAAAATGAGTACAAACCTTTTCCAGAATGAGTACTACATAGTTCGAAATGAATGGTTATATTTGTACGAGAATGAGTACTACTTTATTTCAGAATGAGTACTACCGGGATGTACCTATTTCTAGGTACATCCGGATGTACCATATACCAACTCCTTGAAGCAAGAAAGAAAAGAATACTCTATTTGTCTATTAAAATCTTCTTTTAATTTTTTTGGAAATTTTTTTAAAGTTTGTCTATAAATTGTAAAAAAAATACTCTCTTTTCAATTTTGTATAAATTTTAAATTTTTGAGTTAGTTTTAAGATATAGTTTTCATACATCAAATTTTTATAATAATTATGTAAAATAATATTTACCCTGGTGGTCTTTCCTTTATGAGTATCTTTCCACTACACAAATAGTCCTATTTTGATCTTCTCATATTGGTGTTAATTTGAAGGCTAATTAAAAGTGTAATTTCACAATGATAGAAAAACCAAAGTAGGACTAAGACATTGAAAATATACCAAAATAAGACTTCTATATTTTTATTTCCGAAATAGAACTTAAAATACATTTACATTACCAAACATGGCCATGCACATTACCAAACAATACAGTAATGTGCACATGTATAATGCCACGTTACAACCACATTACCACAATGTGAAGTCTTATTTCAAAAAAACAAGAAAATCCTATTTTGGTACTTTTCTCTATGTCTTAGTCCTATCTAGGGTGATTTCTATATATCTTTCTTGTCATGCATAATTCAAAAGGTCGCTCCTGATGCGTCGTTTGAGAATTACAATAATTGCTTTCTACTACAGTCATAATCTACAGATGTGATCTTTCGTCGGAATCCTAACTCACAATCATAGTCATTACTTTTGTGTTATTCGTCTAACCAATATTAGTATATGTCACTCGACATAAGGTTGATATCAAATTATACTTTTAGTCTTTAAATTAACACCAACATAGCAGAAGATTGAAAAAAGGACAATTTGTGGAAAGGCAACCTGTTATAAAGGGCCAATTATAGAATTTACTACGCGAATAATAACTGATAATAGAGGACTAAATATGGAAACTCCCCTGTTATAAAGGATTAATTAATTACAGAATTTACTTAATTTGAAAATAAATTTAACACTATTTAAAAATAGTAACGTTGTTTAGTATTTGAGGAATTTACTTAAATAGCACCAAACATAATGATTTTCCCTAAATAGCACCACATATGTTTTTCTTCCCAATGTAGCATTTTTAGTCATTATCCATTAGTCATTGTTCAAGTGAATATTCGTCATCACTGGACATTATGGACATTATTGAGTGCTATTTAGATAATAAAACATTTTAAGTGCTATTTAGAGAAATGACTTTAGTTTTAGTGCTATTTAGTTTAAATATTTCCACAATAAATTTGTTATATAAAAACATCCTCTCTACTTTCTTTCTCCACTTCTTTCCCTTACCAAACATAGTGTCAAAGTTTTAAAATGAATTTCTCCCTCCTTCAATTTTTTCCTTTTTTAAAGATCAGTTCACATCTGAGAAAAATAAAAAAATATATACAAAATAAAGAAAAATGAAAAAACAACTAAAACCATACAAAATTAATGAAATAAAAATATAATTAACAAAATTCGATAAGAAATTAAAAAAATCATACAGAGTGGTTCTTTCTAACGTTTTAAGCACTATACAGAGTAATAATGTATTACTTCTTCCCGTTGGTAGAAGAAATGAAAATACTCCCTCCGTCCCACTCTTTTTGTCCACTTACCTTTTGGCACACCATCCAATGCACTTCTTTAATCCATTTTATCTTGTAATTTATATATTAAAAAATTATAAAAATTATATATTAATAATCTATATGTTAAGACAAATCAAACAATATCACACATGACTATATTTAGGCTTACACATTGAGAGAATTTGATGAGTCAAAGTGCTTAGATGAACAGTTCCAAAAGTCAAAAGTAGACAAAGAGAGTGGGACGGAGGTAGTATAAATTAAAAATAAGAAATAAAAAAAATTCTTATAAAAACCATAAAAAATTGATATAAAAATATAAGAAAATGCTTACTTCAAGGCAATTTGATTTTAGTTATTTCTAAATAATAAAAATGATTTTTTTAATTTATTTAGGGTTCTAATAACAAAATAATTATTTTATTTTTAAATTTTATTTTTATTTTCATATTTTACTAACATGAAGAAGTAGAGCATTAGTGCTCCACTGCTCCGTATAGTGCATAAAAGGGTTGAACCCACCACTCCTCCGTATACTTTAGTTTTTATTTCTTACTAGTTTGAGGTTGATTTTATTAATTACCTTATGTATTTCATTAACTTTTTATCGTGTTAGTTGTTTTTCTCATTTTTGTTATTTTTTATATATTTGTTATTCTGAGTTAAGACTAATCTTTAAAAATAAGAAAACGAAATGTTGGAGGTATAAAGTCATTTTGAAACTTTTATCCAAAATTTCAAAAAAAAAAATAAAAATTTAAAATCATAAAAAACCGTCCAAGTTCATTTTGTTGCACAAAACAAATCATTTCTGTTAACCAACTGTTAGCGATTAAAGGCTATCCAAAACTTGCAAATTTTAGTAAAATTAGGATTATTATGCATCACAGTAAAAATTGAGATTATTTTTTAAAGATAAGGTAGGTCGAGATTATTCTGACAATTTTTCTGAAAAAGAAGTGATGCAATGAGCTAAGCTCAAAAAACTTGAACAATTCAAAACCTCTCAAAAGGGTAGTCAGGAAGCAATTCTAGTAGATGCTTAACAATTGAATAAAAAGTTGCCCAAAAAGCTGGTGGTCAACTTCACCCCCCACTTTGTTTTTTTTAATGTTTACTTTTTATTAATCATTTTAAATTAGTGTTTGATGGTGTAAATTTGTGTTCAAGTTTGGGATGAAAAAAATAAAAAAGAAATGGAATGGTCAAGTTAAGAATCACCAAAGAAAAGAATCTTATGCTCTGTATTTCATAATATTATTTATTACTACATTTGATGAAGAAATTTCAAAGAATGAACAAGACCTAGGAATGATCAATGAATCTATGATCAATGACATATTTTTTACTCTATATCTCAGCAATACTGACACTGCAGCTCACCTTTAATGCTCTTAAACTCCTGCACTAATGGTATAGTCAAATGCATACTTATGTCTAGCATGGCAAGGAACTTCCAATAATGTATCACTAGAAGTATCAAAACAAGCATCAGTAATGGGGATTAGAAGATTCAGATTTTCTTCGCCTTCGATTGTTCCTTCATTACAGGATGATGTGTCTCTATGATTATCGTCTTCATCTGACAAAGACCGAGTGTACATGGAATCATCATCATCTTCATCCTCACCAACATCGGTTGATAAGGAAATGCTATCAATCACATTTATATCCCCAACCGTTTCGGCCCCTTCAAAGTGCCAATAATCATCACCATCGTCATCATCAACCAACCCTTGTACAAACGGGTGGTTCAGTAGCATTTCTGCTGTCAGTCTATACATATCTTTCTTCACGAAACACCCCTTCAGAAAATCCCTTGCCTCCTTAGATATCTCACAAGGGATCTTAGGAGTTTTCCCTTCCTTAATCTTTGCAAGAACCTCTTTGGCTTCTAGCTTTGGGTCCTCGGCCCACGGTGGCTCGCCAGTTAGCATCTGAAGCACGACACACCCAAGAGCCCATATATCACAAGGAGCTTCTTGGACACCATCCTTGACCACCTCGGGTGACAAATACATAGGGGTACCCCTCCAGTAAGGCTCCAATCTCCTCTTCTTGCTCTGTTTACCCCTCTTTGCCAGTCCAAAATCCCCAATTTTCGCCCTAAACTTAACACCCCCAACCTCTCTAGGACTAGGCAGCAATAAGACATTGTCTGGCTTCAAATCACAATGAACGTAGCCAATCATATGGATATGAATCAACCCTCTAAGTAAAGACCTAGTGTGAAACCTCACCTCCAATTCAGGCAATCCCTTGTTGTTCCCCTCTGAATTCTTCTTGATCCTCGTCGCTAGGGTTCCGCCCGAGCCATACTCCAAAAGCAAATTATAAATCATATCACCATTCTCCCCCGTTGTGGTCTCCTCCCCGAAGCATCTGATAACGTAGGGGTTGCCCTTTATTCTGTCGAGAACCTCCCGCTCCTTCTGTATTGAACCCGAAGCAGAAACCTCTGCAGATTTCACAGCCAGCACTGATGGAAGACAGCTATACTTGGATCTGGGCTTCTTCAGAGCCGCCATGAAAACACAACCACAGCTTCCTTTGCCCAACAATTCTCCTCTCCGCCAAGTAGCCCCGTCTCCATAACTCCTCATCCCATTAACACTTTTCAGCTCCATAACTCCTCAGAAACGGATGCTGGATTAACGGGGAACAAAACTACGAACTCCTAACAGGCAAACAGGTTAGGGTTTTTTTTTTACTGAATATCGAAAACCAAGTCGGGAAATTGGGAATTTCTCTGAGGTTGACAAGGCTACAAATTGTAAATTGTTAATTACGCAATGCGGGGAAGGGTTTGTGACTTTTGTGTAATTCCCTGAGCGTGTCCGGATATATAGTCTTTATTTATTATTTTCTTTATTTTTATTTTTTTAATTTTCGGTATTGTACGAGTGTTAATTATTCTCTGGTGATCACATGTAGTTAGTTGTAGCAGCCGCGTTTTCTTTCTAGTGGATGGATGCATACAGACGTAGAAACTTGGCTAAAAATAAAAACCGGAATAACGGTCACGTGTTCTTATTTTACGTACAATGATTCACATATGTTGGCTGCGAATTAGTGTTGAACGAAGAACTCGATAGAATAACGAATCGCGTACGAAATGCTTTCAGATCAAAGTTATTTTGGGGTATACGAAATACTTCAATCGAATAAGACGTTAATTCAGAACAAGCACTCGAGAATCTGTCACTCAACCCATACCACGAGACTCTATTTTATAGAGTCAAAAATCCTTGTGATCGGACATGAACATTCGCGTAGATGTATGCGTACGTTCGCGCAAGAAGAAGAAAGGTGCGAGTTTGAACGAAAGGTCTCTTGCGGTTGAAGGCTTAATTTCAACGTTTATCCAGCTCGACCCCGGCCAGGGGCTCTGCCCCTTGGACCCCGCCAGGGGCTGCCGCCCCTTGGACCCCGCTATCCCGGGGGCTGCCGCCCCCGGACCCCCGCAGTGAATTTATAATATCGTTGAACGAGTGCGCACTCCGCGCCTCCTAACTCGTTTGACAACGTCTATTTAAATTCTTGTCCGATCAAAGTAAATCCAATTACACAAAATAAATTGATGACACTAAAATCACCAACAACATAAACGTTCGTTCCTTTGTCATGTTACATGATTAATAAATGGTCCGTTTGGTATACAGAACTGATGGAGTTGAAATTAGAATGGGAGTTCAAATTCTATAAATTTAATTTAGATGAAATTGAATTTTTCTAATATCAATTTATTCTTGGTACTACCAATCCAAATCTACATATTTTTAAGCTACCTAACATCAGAATTAAAATTCTTGTTCTCAATTCAGATTCTATAAAATTATGTACCAAACAGAACATATGAGTATATTCTTTTCAATTAACATTCTAAAGTTGAATGTTGTAAGATATTATATGAGGTTGGAAGAAATTGAAAGAAATATTATGAAAACTAATTTTGAACAAAAAAGTTTTCATCTTTGTCCATGTATTTGATTAGTATGTTAAAAATTTAGATATACGATGTCATTGTATTTTTATCATATGTAACTTTTTTAAATCGTTGGAAGAAACTGAAAAAAACTGGAAAAATTGAAAAAACTTAAAAATTAATTTTTTTCGATCTAAATAACAAGTTTTCACTCTTCATTGTTTAATACTCTCTGCACCAAAATGCTTTGCACTTTGTTCAAAACTAAACAAAATTTTAAGTTTTTTCAAAAGTTTTGGAAAACATGACGTGACAAGAATGTTTTACAACATAAAATAATCGATGGAAATGCATAAATAAACAAAAATTCTTATAATGTTTTAGTAATAAAGTCTCAAGATTTTTTTGGGACGGAGTGAGTATGGTACTTCCTCCGCCTCTATAGTCTTTATTTTACTCAAATTATTTTCACTTTTATTTATATCAAAGTCGGTTTGAAATTTAAAAAATATCTTACTACAAGGTACATTTTTAAAATATTACTTCAAAACAAACTAGATTAAGTTTCATCTGGTAATTAGTGAGAAGTTTATTTTAAGACAAAGGTAGTAGTTTGTACTTAACTTCTCCTTAGAATTTATAATGTTAAATTGAACTTTTTTTCTTAAATTTATTCAATGATTATTGGTGGTTTAAAAATAAAATTTATACCATTCAAAAAAAATTACATACTTCGTATTTAATATTCCCTCCATCAAAATTTAAATCGCCCAATGTTATTTGTAAGATTCGATCGAAAGTAATTTTCAATTCATATTATTTGAAAATTGGTGTTGAATTTAAAAAAAACATATATTTAGGGATTACACCAAAATTTCTACTAAGCTACAGGTGACATGGGTCACATGACTGTAATCTTTTATCTAATGACTAGAAATGTGGTTAGATATAATGATTAAAGGTTGACCCTTTAAATCGAAAAATAGACAACTTATATAGGAATAGAGGATGTATTTCATTAAAAAATTACGAAACTATTAGATATAATGATTAGAGGTTCACACCATTTTGCGCGGTTCTAGGGAGCACATCAACGGGTATTTGTCGTGCTGCACAATTCGACGAAGATTCATCGTCAGTGGTCATGATTGCTTTACCCCAATACCTAAGTTGGAGTCTCCCAAGTGTAATGGCACTAAACCACTCCGCTAGTTGTATCAGATAGGTGGATTATTTTATTTCTATAACACACCACCCGAGGAATGCCTCTAATGTGTCACCCTGATGCTAGACGGTCCTGCTGCTGACTAGTTTTGATGGCACCAAAACAGTAACATGATTTCCAATTGTGATGACTTTGTGGCCAAGCTTAAGCTGTGTTTTGATCCATTACATTACGAGGACTATCTTGGACAATTATAAAATCTACGCCAAACTGGTACGATTATGGATTATCAAACCATTTTTGAAAACATATTGCAACACATCACTAGAGCTACAAACGAGATTCTGATTTCATTATTCCATGCGGGGCTTAAACCCTACCTATAACATGAGATAGCCTTGGCGAAGCCCAATTCGTTATCCGGTTCTTTTACTTTGGCTTAAGAACTTAAGGTCCGCCATAACACGTTGTTACAATCTGTCCAACCACAATCTTCGTCATGGTTATCGCATCCAAGAATGTGTGCTCCGCCTCCAGGAGGCCGCCACACACCTTCGGAGTGACAAGTTGGCAACCAGCAGAAACCAGAGGACAAGCTGCAAACCCTAATTTACCGGCCCTATTCGTCGTTTGTCACGGGTCGAACATCTCGAATGGAATGCCTAAGGTTTATGTTATAACTGTGATCAAAAGTGGTCAAAGACTCATCGTTATGGTCGATTTTTGTTACTTTGCGACGACGAGAATGAGGATACTTCGAAGGAGTCAGTGGAAACTGAGGAGCATGTGATCTCTGCCGATATTTTTAGCTTGAACACACTAGATGGTGTGACCTCACCACATTCCCTTCGGCTTATGGGCCGCCTTGGACAAATAGACGTACAAGTATTGAAACACAAGGAAGTACTCACAACTTTATTCATCCCACCGTGGTGTCCAAGCTTCAGATTCTAGTTTTACTCGTTCCGTACTTTTGGGTTTACGTGGGGAATGGTGACTCCCTCCCTTGTGACAAACAATGTGTGGATCGACAGTTGACACTACAAGGATGTGGTGTTGGGCGTCCAATGGCTCAAATAACTTGGATGGATTATTCATGATTATTCCACCATGACAATGGAAATCACATGGCATGACAAGCTCATCTCGTTGAAAGGGGGTACTACCATTCAACACGCCTTAACCCTCCATGGCCTCAATATGTTACAGGTGAGCAACAATATTGGGGAGTGTTTTGGGTTGTATTATTGGTAGAAGGATGAGGCTTCCCAATTAAATTACCACCACTGCCATGCTAGTTTTGCAACCCATATGCCAGATTCTGGATGAGTTTACTCCTATATTTGCTGAGTGGATTGCCTTGCCACCTCATCAAGCGGCAGACCTTTGAATATTCTTATAACGGGGAGCGCCCTAGTTAATGTTCGTCGTTATAGATACCTTCATTTTCAGAAAGAGGAAATTGAATTCCAAGTCCGTGAAATGCTTGCCAAGGGCTTGATACAACCAAGTCGAAGCATGTTTTCTTCCTCGGTCTTGATTGTAAAGAAAAAGGACGGCACATACCACTTTTGCATTGATTACCGCACGTTCAACACTGTCACCGTACCAGATCATTTTCTAATCTCGAGAGCAGGTGAGATTTTCAATGAATTGGTTCATGGATGTTATTTCATAAAATTTGACGTAAGGTTCGGGTACCATCAAATTTGGATGGATGCAAAGGACATTTACAAAACCGCCTTTCGGACTCATGAAGGGCATTATGAATTCTTGGTCATGCCATTTGGATTAATGAATCCACCTTCCACGTTCCAAGCTGTTGAATAAAGGTGTTGATTCATATTGCCAACTCATTAGTGGACTAAGTCTTTAGTTTGTTATTTCTTTAATGTTAGTTATCCCTTATTTGTAGCACTAGTAATTACCACGTATCCACTTAATTGCTAAGATTTCTCCTTTTTTGTTGAAGTCTGTTTTCCATTTTAGAGCTATATAATAGCTCCACTTTTCATTGAATAAACCATCCAAGTTTTGCATCTGGTATAGTCTTTTGCTACAAAGTTTTTTCTTTCTTTTTGTTTTCTACTCTCTTGTTCCAACATTTGTGGTATTGGAGCCTAGTTCAGTTACGATTGCCAGCAACGGGAATTCGATGAGTGCTGCACTACCACTCATACCAGTCTTCATGGGAGAAGGCTACAAATACTGGAGTATTCGGATGAAGACTCTACTAAAGTCTCAAGATCGTTGGGGCTTTGTAAAACAGGGATACACAGATCCCGACGACAAGGTGAATAGATTGCAAGAGAACGGGAAGAAAGATGCAAAAGCGTTGGCGATCATCCAGCAAGCTGTCCACGACAATGTCTTCTCTAGAATTGCATTGGCGACCACCTCAAAGCAAGCCTGGTCAACCCTACAGAAAGAATTCAAAGGAGATCCAAAAGTCATCGTTGTGAAATTGCAATCACTTCGACGTGACTTTGAAACGCTGATGATGAAGAATGGAGAATCACTGGCTAATTTTTTTGTCAAGGGCAATGACAATAGTCAGTCAAATGCGATCTTGTGGCGAGAAGATGAGGGACAAGACCATCTCCGAGAAAGTACTCAGAAGCTTGACTCCAAAGTTTGATCATGTCATTGCTGCAACTGAAGAATCGACGAATCTATCGATTTTTTCGTCCGAAGAACTGATGGGATCTCTTGAAGCCCACGAGTCAAGGATTAACCGGCCAGGGTCATTTGGAAAGTCTGATGAAAAATCTTTTCAAGTGAAAGGTGAATCTTCCAATCAAAAGGACTTTTCTACAGCAAAAGGACGAGGTAGAGGAGGTTTCCGAGGTCGTAGGCGTGGGCAAGGTCGAGGTGGTGATGGTTAATTTGATGCAAAGGAGACCTTTTGCGTGCAACAAAGAGACAAGAGTCATATTCAGTGCCATAATTGCGGCAAATATGAGCATGTGAAGGCAAATTGTTGGTCCAAGGAGAAACAAGCAAATTACCTTCGAGAAGAAGAGGATGAAAACAAGTTATTCATGGCCGTTGCAGACGCCGTGGATACACCGAACGATGTGTGGTTCGTGGATAGCGGCTTCTCGAATCACATGTGTTCCAAGAAGGAGATGTTCAAAGAGCTTGATGAATCTCACAAGATTCAAGTCAAGCTTGGTGATGACAAATCCATTCAAGTTGAAGGGAAAGGTACTGTTGCAATAAAGAATGGCCATGGTAACACCAAACTCATTTATGATGTCTATTTTATTCCAAAATTGGCACATAATTTATTGTGTTGGGCAATTGGTTACTACTGAATATATGGTATTGTTTGATGATGGGTTCAGTGTCATCAAAGAAAACAAATTAGGGCAAATCGTTACAAAGGTTTGCATGACTGAAAGTAAAATGTTTTCCCTCCGAATATCAAATGTAGAGAAATACGCTCTTGTTTATGACACACAAGAGGCGTCAAAGTTGTGGCATCTACGATATGGGCATCTTAATACCAATGGATTAAAGCTTCTACATAAGAAAGGTATGGTTCTTGTGCTGCCTAAAAATGATGTTTTTGATTTATGTGAGGAATGTATCTATGGGAAACAAACGAGGAAATCGTTTCCTAGAGCTTCTAAGTGTCTTCAGCTCATTCACGCTGACTTGTGTGGTCCTGTGAATACGGAGTCCATGGATGGAAGTCGGTATTTCTTTCTACTTACTGATGACTATAGTCGCATGAGTTGGGTTTATTTTATGGAAAATAAGTCTGAATCCTTTGAGAACTTTAAGAATTTCAAGGCGATGGTGGAAAAGCAAAGTGAGAATAACATCAAGGTTCTTCGTATAGACAGAGGTGGTGAGTTTTGCTCTAATGATTTTAATCATTTTTGTGAAATTAACGAATACATATGGAATTGACAGCACCATATACGCCCAAGCAGAATGGTGTGGCGGAGAGGAAAAATCACACCGCTGTAGAGATGGCGAGAAGCATGCTGAAGGCAAAATAGCTTCCAAACTCTTTGTGGGCAGAAGCTGTTGCTACAACGGTATATTTTCTAAATATATCTCCTATGAAAGTTGTCTTAAATTGCACTCCATGTGAAGCTTGGGGAGGTACAAAGCCAACAGTGAGCCATTTAAAGGTTTTTGGATGCGTAGCTTATGCTTTGGTGTGCTCTCAAAGTCGTCAAAGCATACAAGTTATATAACCCTCTTAGTGGCAAAATTATTATCAACATAAACGTCATTTTCCATGAAGATGCTTTTCGGGATTGGGAAACCAAACAAGATGATTCATATATTCTCTTTCTGCTGGACTCAAGTGATGCTGATTTTAGTGTAAATTTGCCACAAAGCAGCCCTAGCAACTCACCAAATACTACTCCAAACACTACTCCTCCAAATACGCCTCACACAAGCCCCATAAACTCTCCAAACACAAAGACACCTTCCTCTTCAAGCAGCTCATCATCTCTCGAAACACCGCCTCCCCAAGGCTATAAGTCTCTAACTAAAATTTATGATAGATTTAATTTTGCTCTTATGGTTGCAGATCCAACTCGGTTCCATGATGCTACTGGAGAAGAGAAATGGCAAAAAGCAATGTAGGAGGAGATTAGAGCAATATAAAAGAATGGCACTTGGACGCTCGTAGATTTACTTGAAGGGAAAACTGTAATTGGCTTGAAGTGTGTTTTCATGACAAAGTATGATGCATATGGGAGTGTGCAGAAAAATAAGGCTCGTTTGGTGGTTAAAAAGTACGTGCAATAGCAACGCATTGACTCTGAGAAAACGTTCTCTCCCGTTGCTCGCTTTTAAACGGTGAGAATGTTTTTGGCCTTGGCTGCTCATCTTAAGTTTCATATCTATCAACTTGATGTTGAGTCTGCATTTCTAAATGGAGACTTGGAGGAGGAAGTCTATGTCATGCAGCCGGAAGGATTTGTTATTGAAGGAATGGAGGATAAGGTCTATAGGTTAAAAAAGCTTTATATGGCTTGAAGCAAGCTCCGAGAGCATGGTACATCAAGCTCGACTCATTTTTTTTAGCAAAATAGATTTGAAAGAAGTCCTAATGAGCCTACATTATATGCAAAGAAGGGAGGTAATGGTAGTTTGCTCCTTGTTTGTGTATATGTTGATGATATAATCTATATGGGATCATCTTACTCTCTTTTTACTGAGTTCAAAGAGAGCATGATGAATATGTTTGAGATGACACATTTGGGTTTGCTTAATTATTTCCTTAGGTTGGAAATTATTAAGCAAGGAGAAGATGGGGTGTTTGTCTTCCAGAAAAAATATGCTGAGAATCTTCTCAAATGCTTCAACATGATGAATTAAAAAGATGAAATTACTCCCATGAACATCAATGAGAAGTTGCAGTTTGAAGATGGTACTGAGAAATCTGATGCAGGAAGCTTTCAAAGTCTAGTTGAAGGTCTGATTTATTTAACACATACGAGACCCGATATTTCATTTGCCGTTGGTATGGTTTCAAGATTTATGCATGATCCAACACGTCAACATTTTGGAGCTGCGAAAAGGATTCTTCGCTACATTGCCGGAACTCGAGATTTTGGTATTTGGTACTCAAATGTTTCTAAATTTGAGTTGGTTGGGTTCACGGATAGTGACTGGGCAGGTTTTGTGGATGATAGGCAAAGTACTTCAAGTTGCATGTTCAATCTTGGGTCTGGATCTGTGACGTGGAGTTCAAAGAAGCAAGGAGTGACAGCGCACTCGGCGACAGAAGCAGAGTACGTGGTTGCTACTTCTTTAGCGTGCCAAGGAATATGGTTAAGAAGGCTTTTGACAGACTTGGGGCAAGAGCAAAAAGAGGCTACTAGGATCTTTTGTGATAATCTTTAGCTATTTCTAGTGAAAAAAATCTAGTTATACACAGGAGAACAAAGCACATTGATATTAAGTTTCACTTCATAAGAGATCTGATTAAGAAAGATCTTATCTCTTTGAAGTTTTGCAACAACCATGAGAATCTAGCTAATATATTTACCAAGTCACTGTCTTCAGAGAAGTATGTCAAGTTCAAAAATTTGCTAGGAGTATGCAATTATTAATCAAGGGGGAATGTTGAATAAAGGTTGATAATTCATATTGCCAACTCATTAGTAGACTAAGTCTTTATTTTTTTATTTATTTAATGTTAGTTATCCCTTATTTTTAGCACCAGTAATTAGCATGTATCCACTTAGTTGCTAAGATTTCTCCTTTTTTGTTGAAGCCTGTTCTCCATTTTAGATCTGTATAATAGCTCCACTTTTCGTTGAATAAACCATCCAAGTTTTGCATCTCGTGTAGTATTCTGCTACAATGTTTTTTCTTTCTTTTTGTTCTCTGCTCTCTGGTTCCAACACAAGCTTGCATGAGTCGGTTGTTCATGGCCTATTTGCAAAAACTTGTGATTGTTTTATTCAACAACATTTTTGTCTACAGCCCACACCGGCTGCACATGAGGGGAATCTACGTTTGGTATTATCCCTATTGCTTCATAATCAATTCTTTGTCAAGCCACTAAATGCACATTCTGCTCCGACACGATGGGATATCTGGGTCATGACATCACTCGGGGTACTTCAGGCTTACATGGTACTATCATCGTTTTATTTGTCATTATTCTCACTTCGCCGCTCCTTTAACTGACTTGTTAAAAAAGGACTCCTTCACGTGGACTGACACCGCCCAGGCTACATTCGCCCATCTCAAAACGACAATGTCCTCAAGTTCAGTGTCGCGTCTTGCAGATTTCGCCCAACACTTTTTTATCGAAATCGACGCATGCACAACAGGTGTGGGTGTGGTTCTCTTACATGGAAGCAACTGGTGGCTTTCTTTAGCAAAAAGCTCAGCCACCGATGCATAGCCGTGTCTTCTTATCACAAGGAAATTTTTTGCCATTGTGGAAGCAGTACAAAAGTGGAGATAGAATTTGTTGGGACAGAAATACCTTATTCGCACCCATCACCATGCCCGACCAGCAATATTATGTTCAGAAACTTTTGGGATTTCCTTTTGGGATTGAATATAAGTTCGGTGCTTCTAACAATGGATTTCACGTCCACCCTTCTTCCCTAAATGGATGGCCAAACGAAGGTGTTAAATAGAAGTCCTGAAGTTTACCTCCGTGCCTTTACACATGATAAGCCCACTCGCTCGTCAGTCTTCCTCCCTTGGGCGGAGTATGCTTTGAACACGCGCTACCATGTCATTCTGAAAATGACACCCTTCTAGGCCTTCTACGGTCAACCACCATTGAGTTTTATGCCATACACTCCAGGTGAAAGCCGGGTCGCTGCTGTGGATTCTCTTCTTGTGGAATAAGACACCCTATTAGTGAGGTTGAGGTAGAATCTGGGACTTGCCCAGCAACGTATGAAATCCTTCGCTAGTCAGCATCGCGGGGAGCTCTCCTTTTCTGTAGGTAATCTTGTGTTACTCCTTCTGCAGCCATATTGGCAGCATTTAGTACTCCGCCACCGTTATGTTAAGCTGGCTCGCCGGTATCATGGACCTTTTGAAGTGGAGGAGAAGATTGGGTCAGTATCTTACCACTCTGAATTACCACCAACATTGTGTGTTCATCCGTTGTTTCATGTTGTCTTGCTATGTCCATTTCAAGGGTCTCGAGTGACGAATCCTCGACATTTTCCTGACGAATTTGTTAATGGAAACCTAGTGTCATCTCCACTTTGCATCCACAGGCATCAGACTATACTCCAGCACGAAAAAATTGTTGAGCAAGTCTTAGTTCAATGGTCAAATGGTACGTTGGATGACGCCATGAGGGAACTACGGGAGGTTATGCGCCAGTCTTATGCTCACTTACACCTTGAGGACAAGGTGGATTTGGAACCGGGAGGGGATACGAATTTTACCGAGGATAAACAGGAAGATAGTGAGACTGTGATAGATCAGGAACGTGACAAGCCACGGATTAGGTGGCGTTGGAAATTAAGGCTGCGTTCTGCTGCCTGATCTGATCCAATTTTTTGAAGTTATAATCTGATATGATTGGATCTGATCTAATCTGGTCTTATCTAATCTTATTGAATCTCACGTGATATAAATTTGATTCAAATTAAAATTATTATTATGATGGTTATAATAATAGTAATAATAATAACAGAAATATTAGTAATAGTAATAATAATAAAAATAATAAGATAGTAATAGTAATAATAATAGTAATAAAAATAATAGAAATATTATTAATAATAATAGTAACAATAATAATAATAATAATGATAATAATAATACTTCGCCCATCCCTCATAGATTTTCTCATTAGCCCTTTTTATTTATCCACCATAGATCTTTTCATTACCTTTTTTTTACAATTAAAATACCACAACAACACTCACTTTATTTATTACACCCCGCCTACCTCATTTAATACACTCCACCCATTTTCATTAAGGGTATTATGGTAAACTTTCGCCTTTTTTCAACTCTCCTTAAAAACCACAAAAAGTCAAAATGAGAAGATCTTAGGTGGACGGAGGTAGTAACCATAATAATAACAATA